GCGGGTGGGCCGGCGGGTGGGCAGCAGGGGCAGGAACAAAAGCCGGGGGCCCTGGGCCTGTCTCATACTTGGACTCCAGCTGCCATCTGGTGGTGGCTCAGCCCTTAAGTGCCCCAGCTTGCACTATTAACAGGGGTTTACTCACCCTGTGAATGTGTCACGAGACGATGAAAACCACCCTTCAGCTTCATTCCCCTTCAACAATGGCAGCAGTCATTTACAAGCGAGAAGGACAATGACATACAAATGTTAAGTGAACCAGGTGTCCTGCTGTATTATGATTACCTCACTGCCATCATCGTAGCGTGTTGTTGTCCTTGAGCTCATGAGCCAATTCTCTTCCTTCTGTTAGCTCAGCTCAGTATATCTGATCCCAGAGACATCCCATGAGCCTAGGAAAAAGGATTTTACAATACGAGTGTTACCACTAGCCCATGATAAATTTATGCTCAGAGCCTTGGAGCTAATTCAGGCATATTTAAAAAAAACACCCCACTGCACCATGGAAGGACAATGTGTAAGTAAGTCAGATACATCATCCAGCAAGCTCTCAGCGGCAGTGCAAAGCTTGGGCTGCCATACAGCTTTCATAATGGGAGTAAAGCAGGGCAAGCAAAAAATGGGTAAGGAAGGTTACTTACCTGCAAATAGTGTTTTCCCAGGTGCCTTGTGTATATGCCTCGTTTAACCTTCACCCCCATCCTGTTCTCCCCATCCTACTGAATGGTGCTCATGGACTTGGCAGGATAAAAAGCCCTGAGGCTGCAGGAGTGGGGCTGAGAGAAGGATGTGCAATGTGCCAGCTCACACGTACTCCCCTTTTGGGAGCAGGACCCACACTCATCCCTTCAAGTTGCAAAAGAGGTGGGGGTTCCCACCTGGCAGGGTGAGCAGCCATACAGACATGTCTTGAGGACTCCTGTTACTGCTAATGTGGCCGTGAGTTCCAAAGTAAAACGCAAACAGAAAGTTTGTAACACTACATGAATTTAGAGACTATCATGACATTCATACATTGAGTCTCGCTGTGAACTTCAACTACTTGGAAATGCCAAGGAAGCAAAAGTGCAGAAAAGCAGTTTTATGAACTGGCTTTCTGGGTATGTCAAAAGTACACATCCTTCAAAAAATGGAAAGACCAGCGGTTGTTTTAACACTTAAGATGAAAAAAGATTTGAAAAAAGGCAGCTGCTTCTCACCTCCAAAAGAAATTAAAATTGGAACAGTATGATGCAAAACAAAAGATAAAAACATCCTGAAAAGCCTTGAGAGG